ATGTGATGTTCTGAGGGCCTCGCACCAGAGACACTGGCTGTCTTGGCTGCTTGAATCTATTACTGAGAAATTGTTCTTGGTTATACAAATATTATTGCTTTTGGGTAAAGAAAGAGTCATCAGAAGTGGCACAGAGAGTTCTCCCTGCCCGAAGTGAGGAAGGTTTGACAAGGAGCTAAAATGCTGTGATCACAAGGGAAGGATGTGAGGCGGTGCTTGGCAGACTTGCAGGCCTGGGTCAGAAACTGCATCTGAGAAGAGTCTGTGGCCTCAGGGGCTGGAGTGGTCAGTGGAGAGGACACAGGGCACTGGGTTCTGAAGAATTTGGGACATTGGGAGCCAGGTTCTGAAGCCTTTTAGACGTAGGGAGCTGGGTTCCAAGGCCTTTTGGACGATGTGAGCTGGATTCCAAAGCCTTTGGGATGTCAGGAGCTGGGTTCTGAAGCCTTTGGGAAGTTTGGAGCAGGGTTCTGAACCCTTTGGGATGTAGGGAGCCAGGTTTCGAAGCCTTTGGGATATTAGGAGCTGGGTTCTGAAGCCTTTGGGAAGTTTGGAGCAGGGTTCTGAAGCCTTTGAGGATGTCAGGAGCTGGGTTCTGAAGCCTTTAGGACGTTGGGAGCCAGCTTCCAAAGCCTTTGGGATGTCAAGAGCTGGGTTCTGAAGCCTTTCAGCAGACTCAGCTCTTGTGTGGACTTCTTCTTGCACTCCTACTTGTGTTGAGCTTTCCCTCTGGGAAGAGCTCTCCTGAACACTGCCCTGTACCCAAATCCAGCATCTGCTAAAAACACCAAGAAAACTGGTTATGGGTGATTTTTAGACTCCCCTGAGGAGACTGGACCAGGCTGAGGGGTGGGGTTAAAGGTGTCCATGGGCCCTGACCTCCCCTTTGATCATCTCTGAGCTCCCAGCACCTCCCCATCTGCTGGAGGAGCTGCAGCGTGAGGAGATTTAACCTGTCAACGGCCAAGGGATTCGTAGCCTTAAGTCAAGTTTGGCTTTATTAATATCATTTCTTACTTTGCTAGTGGCTTAGAGGCGACCCTGATCCAGCCTTATCTCCCTCTACAGCAGGTTTCTGTGGCAAAGTTGTTTTGTCAGCCTCTCTAAACACCGACAACATCTATAAAACCCTCTCCCTGGCAGGGAAAACATCCTTCTTAACCTGCCTGCTTCTGTCAGAGCAAACTCCTCGCCCTGGGACTGACGTTAGCACCTCTAAAACTCCTGCGTCACGTCCCAGAAGGTGAAAGACCCAAGTCCTGGGTGGCAGCAGGACACAGGGTTCTGTGATCCCTGCCTGGCCCAGGGCCACCAGGAGCCTCCCTGGGCAAACGCCGAGTGGCAGCCAAGGAAAGATCCATTTCCCTCTTCCCCCGAGTGCCACCCTGAGCCTGGGTGTAAATGATACCTTCACTTTTGGTTTGTTTTCCCCATTTTTTTTATTTTTTCTGGTTTGTTTCTTCCAGCTCCACGACCCAGGGAATAATTAGTGTCTTTTTAAATCCCTACAACACAAGGCAGGATCCGATAGTTTAATCCTCTCCCTGAACTGCTTCTCCAGCTGGCTTCCTACCAACGGAAAAACCTGGTTTCAGAGCAGGTTTGTTCAACTGAAACAGGATATTTAAGCAGCAGAGCTTGGGCTGGTTTAACTTCTGCCTGTCAAGGCTGCCCTGCGGATGTCCTGTTAACCAGGGAGGCTTCCTGGAGTTCCTGACCTTCATCTTTTCTGGCAGACAATGCGCTGGGGTTAAACCTATTCCTGTAGGTAGGTGAGGATGAGGAAGGAGACCCCATGTCAGGTCTCTGAAATCCACCCTGTTTGAGTGGCAGGTGTAGCAGGAGCTGCTTTTGGCTGCCTGTTTTGGGAGGATTTGCTCCTCTGGGTTGGAGCTGGTCAGATAAACCTGGGCTAGGGAAGCAGAATAGTCATAAATTTCCTGAATCATTTATCTGCTGCCAGGGAGGAAGAACCCTGGAGCCTTTGTGAGCGGTGCCGAGACACGTTTGGGGCAGGGCTGAGATTTCTCTCCATAGCTCTTCTTAAATCCCCTTTTTTTGAGCCTTTCTGGCAGGATCTCATCCCAGGTCAAGAGACAGGGATCCAGCAGGGAGGAATGGAGTTAGTCTGAGGAGCTGGAGGATCCCTGAGGGCTGCTGGGGGTCTCATTAGCACCATCTCCCTGCGCTCGGGGGGGTGCCCGACCTGGGGCCCCCGCCGTGCTCCGAGCAGGAACAATTCCCCCCCGGGAAAGGCAGACAGACAGAGTGATAAATCAACAGAAGAAGCCAAAATGTCAAAGCTGCTGTTGAGAGGGAATTTAACTGGCTCTGCCTCAGCCCTGTGACGTGTGAGGAGCCGGCGGCGGGGCTTTGAGTTTGCCACCCGGCCGCTCGGCGCTTTCCCTTCCAGCTGCTTGCTAAAATAAATACTCTTCTCATTTTCAAACCCAACCTTTCTCCCTCAAAAAAAAAACCCCTCTGTGGTCGGTGTTGAAGGGCCGAGCCTGCTGCTAGCTGTCCGAGCAGCGTTTGTCATGCAAAGGACAGAGAGAGAGAGAGAGAGAGCTCTGCTTTTGACATTCAGAAAGCAGGACCCCGTTAATAGGTGGGATGGCAAACGCTGGACAAAAGAAACCTCGGCAGGGAGGTTCTTCCTGGCAAAGAGCAGAGCTGCCAGCAGCTCCTGCCCCTCTCCAGAGCGGTGTTTCCATCCCTGTTGTGTTGTAACTCGGTCTGAGCAGCGTTTTGGGGAGTCCTCTGGGTGCTTGGCAGCTGGATTTGGACTTTTCAGTGAATTTGAGCGCTGTGGTTCTGCTGGTGCCCGGGGGAATTGTGGTTTCATGGCAACAGAAGCAAACCTGGAGCCTCCCTGTGAGCAGAGAGAGGTGCCCAAAAACCCCTCAGAGCAGAGAGAGGTGCCCAAAAA